CCAGTTCTCTTGATCTGTTATACTTCTAGTTCATTTGCTCTGGATTCCAATTATACTTCTAGTTCATTTGCTCTGGATTCCAATTACATTTCAAGTTCAGTTGTTTTCCGCTTATTTCCCTTGCTTTAGATTTCAATTAAATTCAATTCGTTCACTTGCTCTGGATCCCAGTTACTTCGTGTTAACTTGTTCTTGGTTTCAGTCATACTTCTAGGTTACTTGTTCTGGATATCAGTTTTACTTCTGGGTTACTTGTTCTGGATATCAGTTATATTTCATGTTCACTCGTTCTGGATATCAGTTATACTTCTAGGTTACTTGTTCTGGATATCAGTTATATTTCATTTTCACTCGTTCTGGATATCATTCATACCTCTAGGTGGAGCCGCGGTGGCTCAGTGAGTTAGACGCTTGCTCGCTAACCTGAAGGTCCAGGATTCAATCCCGGCATAGGTCGAGATAATACCTTCGGATTTTTCAACCCGGTTTCCCCCTGTCAGTGATGCAGGTACGAGGGGCTGACATGTAAAAAGCGTCTAGTCGTTCGAATGGGACAATAAACCGAGGCCCCGTGTGCTACAGGCTGTGCACGTTAAAGATCCCTCGACAGTTGGAAATCGAAAAAGAGCAGGCTAATGCCGCTGTCCTTGCAAAATTTCCCTCATTGCACCCTACATGGCGTTGTCTGTCTTCATTAGCCCACATGGTGCAGAAAAGTAGGACGTAAAACTCCATTCATTTCATTTTCCTTTTCATTTCATACCTCTAGGTTACTTGTTCTGGATATCAGTTATACTTCTGGGTTACTTGTTCTGGATATTAGTTATATTTCATGTTCACTCGTTCTGGATATCAGTTATACTTCTGGGTTACTTGATCTGGATATCAGTTATATTTCTTTTTCACTCGTTCTGGATATCAGTCATACTTCTAGGTTACTTGTTCTGGATATCAGTTATACTTTTGGGTTACTTGTTCTGGATATTAGTTATATTTCATGTTCACTCGTTCTGGATATCAGTTATACTTCTGGGTTACTTGTTCTATATATCAGTTATATTTCATGTTCACTCGTTCTGGATATCAGTCATACTTCTGGGTTTCTTGATCTGGATATCAGTTATATTTCATTTTCACTCGTTCTGGATATCAGTCATACTTCTAGGTTACTTGTTCTGGATATAAGTTATACTTCTGGGTTACTTGTTCTGGATATCAGTTATATTTCATGTTCACTCGTTCTGGATATCAGTCATACTTCTGGGTTACTTGATCTGGATATCAGTTATATTTCATTTTCACTCGTTCTGTATATCAGTCATACTTCTAGGTTACTTGTTCTGG